AGTTTGAGACAGCCAGAAATAAAAATATGAAATTAAATTCTAAGTCAAGGACTTTTATACCGAATGATATAAATATAATTTATTAATTTACTATCGGGTTATTGGTTAACTCGTTAAAAAAAAACTTCAAACCGTTAAAAATCAATAATCAATAATTAAAAAAAATTAAAATCGTTAAACCAATAACCCATTATCGATAAATCATAGCTTTTTTCGATTTGAATTACCAATTTCAATTCAATTTTAAACGGACCTAACAAAAACAATATGTTGCTTGACAAGCACTCCAACAATGCTTTTAAAGAGAAACTTTTTTTTTTCAGCTTTTGTTACTAACTAAAAGTATTTTTTTTTCTATGATAGCTTGATCAGACGCAACTTTATTTTTAAAAATGAACACTTCTAACTTTCTAAAATTGTTGCCTAATAAACTATAAAGAATTTTCAAATCATTGCAAATTCGAGGATTACCTAAAATTAGATGTTTACAACGAGAAGAATGTACTCCCTCAGTCCCATTTGACTTGGACTCTATATAAAAATAAATATTTTATTTTACTCATTCATTTTAATACATACATCAATATTTTGCTTGTTATTGTTAGATTTAAAATACTATATAAAGTACTCTCTCCGTCCACAATTGTTTGTCAGGTATATTAAAAATAGATGTCCAAAATTAATTGTCAATTTAAACAATCAAGAAACAATTAGTCAGTTTTTTCCAATTCTGCCCTTAATAATTACATTACTACTAGTTTCAAAAAGTAGTCATTTTAAAGTTACAAGACTACTTTAATGAGAAAAAAAGTTGTTTTTATAATTTTCAAAAAGTACAAACTATTTTAATAATGATTGATAGTATGGTTATATTAGTCAAATTGCACATTATATTAAATTTTTCTTAAGGGTTATGCATGATCTTACCCTGATAAACAATAGTGAACGAAGTGAGTAGTAAGTAGTAATTAAATTTGAAAGTATTATTATTATAATATCAATTTAATAAGATATATATTTTAATTAAAAATTCCTTGAATTTGGGGATGATCTCTAATCTAGAAGGTGTTTATTGGGTTGGCACTGGGCAGTATGGAATTCGGATTTAACCAACTTCCCATACCTACATGGCATGAACTTCGAAGCATAGTTTTGGTACATAATTTTCTCATAAAGGGATGTGGGAGCAACAAGTTGGATGTATTATTTATTACTGATAAGGATCTTGGTTGAGTAGTTCTTCATTTTTAATTAATGATTTTGAATTTGAGTTTTTTTGAGTATGGAATTGTCTACGTCTGAGAGTATTTTACTCTTAAAAAGAAATTTTTTAATGTAATTTTAAATTTAATCATGCTTCAATATAAGTGTCGGATATCGAATAAAAAAAATTTAGATGTAATATAAAAGTTAGGAGTCCATTTGATTATTCGTATAATTATTTTTTCTAGTCAGTACTATTAATAGAAATGCATAATCAACTATTGATTCTTATCGATTAGAAAAAAATTAACCTCTTGAGGTTGATTTGTGGTTTTATTCTTTTTGACATTGAAAAAATCGACCTCATAGTTAATTTTAGGCAGTTTTTTTAAGCATTGAGTAGGTTTGTTCCTGATTATGGTTAAAAATTTAAATACGGATAAATTTGATATTTGGTTTAACTTGGTTTTTACTAAAAAAATCACAAAAATAATTGAATCGAACCGATAAATTATATATACAAATTTTATAATTATTTATATATTATTCATAAATAAAAATATAATATTTTTGTTAAATTTTAATGCATCTAAGTCTTTAACTTTACCATTTTTGCTATAAAGACTTGATCTTTTGATCTTAATTTGGTGTATAATGACTTTCGTATAGCTTAACTAAATCACTTTGATCGTGTAATTATAATTTTAATATTGCTTAATTAAATTAATTTGGTTTCGATTTTAACCAATTACCGATCTAAATTGAACCATGAATATTCCTAGTAATGGCTAGAGTTCATTTTTACAGACATTAAATTAAGTTGAAGGATGAATATCTATTTTTATCTAGACACTCAAACTACAATCTATTGTGGTTGAGTATCTGAGCTCATAATAGACTGTTTCGTCATATTTTTATTCAAACTTTGAAAAAACTTTCATGCGCATATTCTTGAACATTCATTATATGGATAAATTAACTACTATGTCATGAGTATTATTTAGTTATATACACTAGTTTAGTATACATACTTTGTGCATGTGTATTACGTCAATTAATATAAAACAACAAGAAGTACAATATATTTTAAGAAAAGTTTTTTTTTTGGGTTTTCCACCCGGTGCCACATTGGAGCTTCGACTAAATTTGGATTGCGCTCTGCAGAATCCATTCGGAAATGACACTCCCAACAAGATTTTCTCCATACCTAAAGCTCGAACCTGAAACCTCCGGTTAAGAAAACTTTTATTGTTACACTACATGCAATATTTATTCAAACATAATAAACTTCGGAAACGGAATTGGTAGGTGTACTAGAAGTATATATAAATAGGAAATATGTATGAATTCCCTTTTTACTTATCTATTTGAAAGCTATACTAACAATTAATTAGTTCAAGAACAACAAATTTTAAAACACTTTTGCAATATAAGAACTACTAATTTAGTGTATGTGTTTTATATGTTTATCTCGCGTTATAAAATTTTGTATATATGAAGAACAAAATTATTTTAAAATAACAATTGATAATAAAATAAATATTATGTATATCTAAATGATAACATTTTCATATAGCGAAGTTGAAAATTTATTTAACTAAACTTAAACCCCTTTATTTCATTTTTTAAAATTTATTTATTTATTTTGTCGTGTACTAATAAGGTAAAAAACTGATTTTGAAGTCTTGAATGTTAAAACTTTCAATATAGTTCAAATAAGAAAAGATCTAATGAGATTTTTTTTTAGTTAATTTTAAATTATCAAATATTAAGAGTTCTTACCTATTATAAATAATAAAAATTTAATATTTATATTTTTAATTAATTTCAAAATATGAGATATTAGGATAATAATTAAATGATAATTATTTAAGATAAATAATAAACGAGGACTATTTGAGAAAAAAACAATAAATGAAAATTATTTGAGGAAAATAATAAATAGCAATTATTTGAGGAAAATAATGAAATGAAAAGTATTTAAGGAAAATACTAAATAACAATTATTTAAGGCAAATAACAAATGAAAATCTTATCATCTTTTAATGGAAAAAAAAGTTCAATCAATATTTGAGGATAATAAATAAATGATAACTCTTTGAGGAAAATAATAAATAATAATTATTTTAGAAAATAAACAAATGACAATTATTTAAGAAAAATAATTAATAGAAGTTATTTAAGGAAAATAGTAAATGATAATTTTGTCGTCTTATGTAAAACAAAAAGTTCAATCAATATTTGAGGATAATAATTATATGATAACTATTGAGGAAAAATAGTAAATGATAAATAATTGCGAAAAATAATAAATGACAATTTTTTAAGAAAAATAATTAAGAAATTATTTAAGGAAAAGAGTAAATCTAGTTTTGTCATCTTATGAAAAAAAGTTCAAAATATTTAAGGATAATAATTAGATGATAACTATTTGAAGAAAAATAATAAATGATAATTTTTTGAAAAAAATAATAAATAATAAATATTCGAGGAAAAAAATATATGATACTTATTTGAGGAAAATAATAAATGACAATTATTTGAGGAAAATAATAATTGATAATTATTTAAAAAAATAATAAATAACAATTTTATTATCGTTTAATGAAAGATAAATGTTCAGTCAATATTTTAAAGAACCTTCATGCTTTTAACGTAATATATATTAGATAAACTAGCCTAAGTTTCGTAAAACTCAATCATTAGCATTGATATGTATAATGAAAAAAGTTAACATATTTTACGTGATTAACCTATATATGTAATAAACACTTTAAAATACACTTAAAATCTTTTCTAAAATTAAAGACCTAAAATATCTAATAATTTTTTTTGGGGGGTTTGGATTGACTTTTGACAATGATTTATTAGTTAAAAAGACAAAAATCATAAGTTGAGTATTTTGTCTTTCAACCTTTTTTTTTATGTACTTTTTCAATTTTGTAAAAATGTTTCGTTTGATAGAGTGTATAAGAATAATACTAAATAGAGTATTTGTAATGATTACATTAGCAATGCAAATATTAATTATGTTTATATTAATTATACATAGACTATTTTTATTCATTGTTTGGTTCGATGCATTCAAAATAACATGCATTGCATAAAAAAAATTATTTACAAAGATACCCTCCACTATTATGGTGGAAAAAGATGTAAAAAGAGGTTTTGAGGGACAATTGAGTCTTTAATCATACTAATATTAATGCATGTATTATTTTTCTTAATACACTCTATCAAACGATCCTTTATTGTGTTATTTAAATATTTATTACAAAATAAAAAAACTTAAAAAGTCAAAAACATTAAAAATAAGTCAATTCAAACCCCATTTTGTTATAAGAAGTTTTTACTCAAACAAAATAAATCTTATCTTATCCATCTAAATAAAATTTACCGACAAATTTATTCTTGCAGTAACATATCGAGCCTCTTTAGGAATAAAAACAAAGGAACATGTGTATGAATCATATTCCCATTTCATATAAATTGATCACTCCTCGAGTCTTTCTTCCACATGTTTTGGGAAAATTTTCTCACACACACACATTGTAGCTGCTGCGTCTTCATCTTCACCGACTCACCACCACAACGGCGTTCACAATTCATCTTCATCCCCATTGGACCTCTTAACTGGTATAGGAATTTGAGTTTTTTTGTTGTCCGCGTGTGTGTTTGAAACCGGCCATTGACGTTTTCTTTAAAAGTGGTATGTTAAACAGTACTCCCAATAAATTAATCATTTTTTTTTTTCAACTTTGGTAAAACTTCAACTGTTCTCTTTCTTCCTTTTTTTCTTGACCCGTGAACAAGAAGAAAGGAAGGAAGTAAGCCCGTGTATTATACGGGTCTATTCTTCGGATCTTCTTTGATCCTTCAGAAATATTCTCTTGTAATAGTTATCATTCTTTTTCTATCAGAGGAACTAATTCGCTTCTTTACTGACCCACTACAGGAAAATCAAAAGCACGGTTGCGTTTGTTCTATTAGATCTGAAGTTGCTTAAAATTCATGCTGTGAAGAACCCATAATTATTTTTTTGTTGGGTATGTCTGGAGCTGTAGCGGAGCATGTGAATCATCCAGTAATGGCGGCTAAGGACCGGTCTGGTTGTTGTAACCCGGTGAAGAAGCCGGGTCCGGTTTCAGTGGACCATGTTTTATCAGCACTAAGGGAGACTAAGGAAGAGAGGGACCTTAGAATCAGAGGTCTATTCAGTTTCTTTGATTCCGACAATGTGGGTTACTTGGATTCTGTGAAAATCGAAAAGGGGTTGTTTGCTATGCAAATTCCGGCGGATTATAAGTTTGCTAGGGAATTGTTGACCGAGTGTGATAAGAATAAGGATGGGAGGGTGGATTATCCGGAATTCAGAAAGTATATGGATGATAAGGAGTTGGAGCTGTATAGGATTTTTCAGGCTATTGATGTGGAGCACAATGGGTGTATCTTGCCTGAGGAGCTCTGGGATGCCCTTGTAAAAGCTGGTATTTACTATTTCGCTGACTCGTAGTTTAATCCTAATTGCTGATAATTTTGCTGCCTTGTTTACTGGTACTGCTGCTTTGGTGTGAATGTAGAATTATCTTTAGTTAAGAATTTCCATCCTTGCACTTTTGTTTTGTGAGTTCAATTGTCTTTCATTGCTATTGCCAAGATGATATGATGACGATGTGCGTATGTGTGTGTCTTGACTTGTAAAGAAAAAAAAAGCCAGGATGATGTTAATAGTACAAAGCTTATGAATCGTTGGGTCAATAGTTAAGTATCCAAAAATCTAGCCAGCTACCTATACAAAAAAGGTGTATCGTCTTTACAGAAGAAACAAAAGAGAACTTTTAACTCTAGGATTTTCGACTCCTTCAAAAGTTTGATTAGTCCTCTTTTCTTACGACCAAATTATACAATTAGTTGTCTTCTATAAGCTGTTCTTTCTAGCATCCAACTTGCTCGCCATCTAACTTGCAATCACTTTCACCATTTATATATGGTATATTATGGATCATAACTGTGCTGCAGCAGAACTACATTCTATTAGGAAATAATTCAAATCCTCTCCATGCTTCTTAGTCAATACCAACTTAGTTGTATTAGTGGAAATGGTTCACGCATTCCGTGACATCACTTCCCAGCTCCAATCACTTTTTGACCATGTTGGAAGAATGCTGTAGTGAGTCATCTGTCCCTGTTGCCTTATTCTGGACAGTTCCACATTGTTCTTTCCACTGCCTTCTTTCAAAAGGATGTCCTGCTCCTCATTTTTTCTGATACTAATTACCTAGAATATGATATGCTCTAGTTTGTTGGTTACATGATTCTTTGATGCTAAAAAGTCACATTTTTGTGGTGTCTTTTAGAGATGCCACATAGGAATCTTATTGAGCCTGGGAACAAGCTTAGTTGTACGCATGAGCTTCAGTTCGTTAGCTATGAAGTGATAATTTAACTTCAATTTAATAGCTGAAATTGCACGAGCTTCGTCTTCAGTTGCTAATTCTTGTTTGACTGAAGCCCTGATTTTCTGTTTCTTGGGATCCATTTCGTTTTGTACTAGACCAAAGTTATATCCTTTACACCTCGGGGATGAGTAGTCTATTTTAGATTTCCATTTGGTAGACAGGTACAAGAAAGAAAAAATAGTGGGTGGATGCTATGTGAGAGATTTAATAGCCCCTTGTGTATATCAAGTAGGTGTGATGTTATCTTGTCTTGGATGATATTACATCATATTCTGATGCCCCTGCATCTTTACGGATTTGTTCACCTTCATTCTTGTGTAAAAAGTAACACTAATTTGCAAGAAAACATAGGAATTATTGTTGAATTTAATGATTGGTAACCTTTCTATACCATGTTGATTGGTGGCTTTGTAACAATTTGCAGTAGTTGATGGATGCTATTATGAATCTTTCTTTTGCATTTAGATTTTGTCCTTATTTAAGCTTCTATCGACTTTCTCTATGTGTTAATTCATTATTTCCTATATTTAGACATGGCTAGAAAGCATGTGGATATGTATAATGATCTTTTTGCTTAATCTAACAAAAAAGAAGAGTATATGTACGTATGCATGTGAGCAGGGATAGGTTTGGGTGATCATTTGAAAAGTTTTCTGAATCTACAAACCAAAAGTTCATCTTTACTCCTTAAATATGTTGCTATTGCGGGTAGCGGCTGCGGGTTTCCCTTGTCATCAAAATAAAATAAAATATGTTGCTATTGCGAATATTCATCTCTTCTGGATGTATGTTTCCAGGCCATTCTGTGTTCCCTAGCCTCATTTCATTTCATTAGTTGTCTTCCTCTTATAAATGAGGACTTTTTTTTTTTGCAGGTATACAAATAGATGATGATGAACTAGCACGTTTTGTGGAACACGTTGATAAGGATAATAATGGGATTATCACTTTTGAAGAATGGAGAAATTTTCTTCTACTTTATCCACATGAGGCCACCTTGGAGAATATTTACCGGTACTGGGAGAGGGTATGTCTTGTAGATATTGGTGAACAAGCCGTCATACCCGAAGGCATCAATAAGCATGTCCATACAGCTAAATATTTCCTTGCTGGGGGAGTTGCAGGAGCTACTTCTCGTACCGCTACTGCTCCCCTTGATAGGCTAAAGGTGGTTTTACAAGTTCAGACTAATCGTGCTTCTATTGGGTCCACTGTCCGAGAAATATGGAAGGATGGTGGTGTATTGAGTTTTTTTAGGGGCAATGGATTAAATGTGATGAAGGTTGCACCTGAAAGTGCAATTAGGTTTTACGCTTATGAGATCTTAAAAAATGTGATTGCTCATACGAAGGGTGAGGAACAGGGTGACATTGGAGCTTCTGGACGTTTTGTGGCTGGGGGCATGGCTGGTGCAGTAGCACAGACTGCTATCTACCCCATGGATCTTGTTAAGACTCGGTTACAAACTCATGCAAGTGAAGGTGGAAAGGTCCCCAACCTGGGAAAACTATCAAAAGATATATGGATTCAGGAGGGGCCTCGGGCGTTTTATAAAGGGCTGATACCATCTCTTCTTGGAATTATACCTTATTCAGGCATTGATTTGGCTGTTTATGAAACACTGAAGGATTTGTCCAGGGTTTATATTCTTCAGGATAGAGGTACAGCTTGTAACTCTTCAACTGCTAACCAACTCATCTCTGACGAAGTGAAATTAGCATTTTTCTAACAATTGTGTTAATATGCAGAACCTGGTGCTCTTGTGCAACTTGGTTGTGGAACAATTTCTGGAGCGCTTGGAGCAACATGTGTTTATCCTTTGCAGGTTATAAGAACGAGGTAAATCTTCATGTTTGACTCAACTTGGTTTTCAGGATTTGGATAAACTATTTGTGCTTTACAATGCAACTTGTCTTTCTTTTCACACTCCTGCTAGAATGCAAGCTCAACCTACAAATACTGAGGCTGCTTACAATGGAATGTCTGATGTGTTCCGGAGAACACTTCAGCATGAAGGTCCCAGGGGCTTCTACAAAGGGCTCTTTCCGAATCTTCTAAAAGTAGTGCCAGCAGCAAGCATTACTTATATCGTTTATGAATACATGAAAAAGAGTTTAGATATCAAATAGATGGTATATACTCCTGGAAGGTTGTTCCACATTTGAGGTTAATCAGCTGATGCTAAGAGACGCTGATGATGACGATGAAAATGAATTAGGTTATTAGTCTTATTGGTGATATGGATTTTCAAAATCATACACTCAGATTTTTACTTGTCAAAAAAGAAAAAACACTTGATTGATTTGTTGCCCTCATTGGATGTTGAAGAATTTTTTAGGAGAGTTTTCTTCTTCGCCTGACGGAACAACTATTTTGTCAATTGAGAATAGTCATCTTCATTTGGAGATTTCTGTCCCAGTTATAGGAATATCCCTCTGTAAATTTACATACACATTGTAAGGTCTACACCTTGCCATTTTTTTACTAAATGAATATTCAAACTCATTTTGCACCATTTCATTGTTTAACTTCGACTGAATACTTATATTTTTGGCAACTTCTTCAATTTTATATTAGATTTCTCGAATCACACAATAATTAATATGTTATTCATCAATGCGTCATGCGTGACGACACATACTCCTATATGTTATTAATATTTATTTTTTGTGGATGAGTTGTTTAACTTCTTTCCAAGTCTGGGTTGTTTCATCGTCATGAATCATTTATCATCAAAAGCATGTTGATGTATCCTGCCAGTATTGTCCAAATGGAGTCGATCAATACTTCTTCGTTCTAAAGTTACACGATATATTGTATATTTTGAATCCCAGATGAATATCTTAGTATAGAAATTTATTTTGAATTGTTTCAATGTTGTAACCGTTTGAACAATTGAACCTCATCCTATTAGTAAAAATCATGAATCCGCCGCCACTGATTAGTAGTCGTAGAACACATTGGATAAAATAGGAAAGTATGAATAGGGCAGTATTACTTGAAAAGAAACACAATACAGGGATATTTGGTTGAACAGTAGTTCAATCCAAAGCTAAAAGGCTTAAAACATCATTATACATGTGAAACTTGAAAACCCCAACTTATCCATGATGGAAAGTAATACAGTATGAAAATACAAGAAAAAAAAAGAGGAATTAAAATCCTGGAAGAAAGGCGTTGCCTTCCCTTTGCCTATATGACTTGCCTGTTTTTTCGCCCTTGGTATCGACTCACATCAGATGCACCAAAGGGTGTGACCTAGTGATCGCCATTTCCTCGAGTGGTACATCAACATCCTTCTTTTTTTTCTTCCTCCACATCTTCTTGTGCTTCACAAATCACAACTAATAGGAGTTGAGTTGCTGTTTTCTCTTGTTTTATGCAAGTCCTATTATATATAACAATCTTGGATGCCTAGGATTTGTCCACTATATTATCTGTACTAGCCTAGGTCTACAAAAATAGAGAAATGACAAATCTTTATGGTCCCCATCCTAATAATATTCTTTTTGTATTAGTCCCTCCTGCTTATCCACCACTAAGGATATTTATATTCCCTCTTTCAAAACATTTAGATAACTACAATAAGAACAATAATTATATTTTCAAATAAGTTGAGGTTAGCTATATAGATTTTCACTGTCCAATTCGCTCATGGACAGAGCTAGGGTATACGAACTCCCATGGTCGAAAAATTCTACTAAATATACTAAGTTAAAATTACTTATTAGGTATATATAGTAGATATTGAATCCGCTTGATTTTTTCATATGTTTACCTTTTCTTCTTTTGAATTTCTTGATTGGATAATTGTTACATATCATTTCATAATGTATTGTATTATATTGTATTGTGTTATATTATATTGTAGTGTACTGCATTGATCAATACGACATTTGAATAGATTGTACTATTATTTTTTGTCATTACATAATGTCGTGTATTAATAATGTGAAGGATAAATCTACCAGAAAAGCAGGAAACAAGGTAAAGCTATTATAAAAAGATAAAATATAATTATTAGATAATAAGAAAAAAAAAAAAAAAACAAATGGGAGAAAAAAAGAAGATAAGGTAACATACGATTATACTAAATCAACAATACATAAAATGAGACTTTTATGTTACATAACAATATATTACTTAAACTAACAATACAATATAATAGAATAAGTCACAACTATCAAAATAAAGTGTCAGTGAAAATCTTATCTCGCCGCTTCATTTAAGTTGATCTCATAAACACAATTAGATTAATAAAAGCAAGGAAATCTATTCACTCCCCATGTGGAGAAAAGGGAGGAAAAGAAGATAAAAATCGTTTTAGTGGAATGAAGAAGAGCTAAAGTTAGTTTGACAAGTGGAATGCAAGTGGAAAGTGATGGAGTTAAAGCGTAAAAAGCATTTTGACTGAGGTCCTCAAACATTAAAAAAAGGAAAATGGTCTGAAATTTCTTCGAAATTTGATCGAAATTATTGTAACAATCTCAAATTTTGAGTAGGACCTATTACCCCTTTACTATTTAATAGTGTATTTTATAGATATATAAGTGTTCAGGTGGATAAGTTACTATTTATAATGATGTAATATTTATGATGTCCACGTGGACACCTATATATTTTTAAAATACACTATTAAATAGTGCATGAGTAATAGGTCATGTCCAAAGTTTAAAATTATTACAATAATTTCGATCAAAATTTAGATATATTTCAAACTTTTTTCCCATAATTTTTTTTTATAAGGATGCTGAAAGAAGAAAACAGAGGACAGTTTACCTACTAAAAGTAGAATATGATGCAGATTGGCTTTCCCTTCATAGAGTATAATTATTTTGAACCGTCCACTTTTAGTACCCCAACATTATAAAATTATAAATGGTTCTAAGGAATCTTTGTGGAGATTGAGGTGCCACTATAATGCATTATTAAGTGGGGAATAGGGAAGGAGACATTATCCCAGTAAAAAAGGACCTAAATGTGGAAAGAGTACAATACTTGTCATTTTCCATCATAATGTTCCTTTTGATAGTGAAATTATTGATAAACAAAGTAGCTAAAAGTGATTATGTAGCTGTCTTGAGTTGGTTGATTGACTTACCTTTTTTGAAGAGGCGAATTCAGAATTTAAATTTTGTGGTATTTCTATAATGGCCTGGATTTAATACACAATAGTAACTGAATTTATATTTAAATATTTAATTGATTTCCTTAACACGTATTGAACAAAAACTATTGAGTTTGAATCTAACACACGATACTCTAGATCTGCCCTAACCGTTTAGGTATTATTGAGATGTTTGCTCCTTGGAATTTGGCTGGCGGCTAAGAATATCATAGTAGGACCACGGGCTATCATTAGACTTTGTTTGGAAATGTTTTTTCCATGTAATTACTTTGATCATTGCCTTTGGACAAACACTTAAAATTACCATCGACTTAAAGTTTAGTAGTATTCTAGTTCCTTGCTTTCTTTCAAAGGCAAGAAATGACATTTGACAAAAAATCTAAATTCTTGATCAACAAAGGAATAATATCGTCATTTTTGTTCAATAAGATATAAAAATGAATGATTGACTTATTCATGCTAGAAATGATCACAATAATTTTTTAGATAATTTGAATTTATATTTCTTGATACCACGATCAAGACAAATAGTTGAATTTGTGAAATCATGTCATAAATGATAGTATTGGTAGTGGTCAAAATCTTCAAATCTGCAAGACAATGAATGACAAACATGCTACTACCTTTCTTTTTAATGAACTGTGACTTCTAAGTATGCACTTCAAGCAAAAGAACAACCGTAATAGGACACCTTTTCTTTTGTTTTTCGGACAGCCACACAAATATCTAAAAATTTTAAAAAATCGTATCAAATCAAACGGTGTCACCTAATTGAAACGGGGAAATATGAGTGTTCAAAATCGAACCGTAACCGATAAGTCAATCACAAAATTGATTTATTGATATTGGGTTATCGAATAAACGGTTGGTGAACCGATTAGAATTTAATAATGAACTTATTGGTGTGGGAGCGAATTATTCAATTTCCTTATCGGATAAACTGTTAACCCGTTAAGAATTACCATACTTACACTTTTATCTTTGATATATTATCCTCATTTAATATTTTTTTCATAATATACTATATATTGTTAGTCCTAAAGTCGTAATGCCAAAAACTGGAAAAACCTATTTACTTTTCTTTTGTATTAACTATTATATTAGTAGTAATCTATATCTTGTAATACAAAAGAATTTTATGATTTAACTGGGTTTAAAATCATGAAAAGAAGTCTTTTTTTAAGGTGCGTTCATGAAGAAAAAAAAGGTAGAGATTAGCCGATACATCGAATGATAACCAATTACTAATATGTTATCAAACCAACCGATATCTTATTGCTTGACTAGCGAATTAGTAAATTTAAATAACCGTTATTCAGCAAGCCAAATCGTTAAGCGGAATTATCTGCCCGATAAGTAGCCTAGAAAGGAATACTACTTCCATTGCACAAGTGTTTCCAACAAGGAGGTAAATATTTCAAACTCAAGGAACATGTGGTGGACGTGCCGGAGTGGTTATCGGGCATGACTAGAAATCATGTGGGCTTTGCCCGCGCAGGTTCGAATCCTGCCGTCCACGATTTTTTGTTTATCGTTTTCCCACTATTTCACTTTCTTTTGCCACCATTCCCCGTTCACTGTGACACTTCCCACAATGAACTACACCCTCTTCTTCTATGGTTCAAATAAGGTGCAAGCAGTCAACATCCTTCTTGATTTTTACACTGAAGCATCAATGCAAGACGATTTCACAAATTCATCAAGTTCATGCTCAATCCATTACCAATGGCTTCCTCTTTTCTTTCAGTTCCACTTTTATCCTCACTCAAATCCTTCATTCCTTCACTTCCATTCTCTCTTCTCTTCCAACACAACCCACCACTCGCTATCCATCCACCATTTTCAATCTTATTCACAACCCATCAACTTTCTGTTACAACACCATCATTCGAGCACACACCCTTCTCTCTTCTCCTAATACTTCCTTCTTTTACTTCATCAAAATGCGGAGAAATTCAGTTCCGCCAGATTCCCACACTTTCCCTTTTGTTCTTAAAGCTTGTGGTTTACTGAATTCTCCGTTTCTGGGCAGGACCCTTCATTCACAAGCGTTGAAGTTTGGTTTTTTAGTTGATGTGTTTGTATGTAACAATCTTGTTCGTGTGTATACTGTTAGTGGTAGTATTAGTGATGCACGTAGAGTGTTTGATGAAAGTTGTGACAGAGATGTTGTTTCTTATAATTTAATTATTGATGGGTATGTTAAGGCTGGTGAGATTGGGGAAGCCAGGGAAGTGTTTGATGAAATGCCTGTGAGAGATGCAGTTTCTTGGGGAACACTTATGGCTGGATATGCGAAAATGAACCAGTGTAAAGATGCCATTGAGCTATTTGATCAAATGGTTACGTTGAATGTGAAATTTGATAACGTTACGTTGGTTTCTGCTCTCTCAGTTTGTGCACAACTGGGGGAACTCGAGAAGGGGAAGATGATACATGATTATATTAAAAGGAAGGGGATTGCGATAGATTCGTACTTGTGTACTGGCTTGGTAGATCTATATGCCAAATGTGGTTGCATTGACATTGCTAGAGAGTTATTTGAGATGAGCAAGGACAAAAAAGTGTTTAGTTGGAACGCTATGCTAGTTGGATTAGCGATGCATGGCCATGGCCAATTACTATTTGATTACTTCTCAAGAATGGTGGAGACTGGTGTTGAGCCTGATGGGGTGACTTTTTTGGCGTTGTTGGTGGGGTGTAACCATGGGGGTCTTATTCATGAAGCTAGAAGGTTCTTTGGAGAAATGGAAGGGGTTTATGGTGTTCCTCGAGAACTAAAACATTATGGATGCATGGCGGATCTGCTGGCACGTGCAGGGTTGCTTAAAGAAGCTATGGAGATGATAGAGGCAATGCCAATGGCTGGTGATGTGTTTGTCTGGGGTGGTTTGCTTGGTGGGTGTAGGACACATGGGCACGTCGAGCTAGCAGTGAAAGCTGCTGAAAATGTAATGGAGGTGAAACCTGAAGATGGTGGTGTTTATTCAATCTTGGCAAATGTCTTTGCAGATGCTGGCCGTTGGGATGACTTGGTCGATATAAGGAGAAAAAGAGACCGCGTAAAGATCAAGAAGAGTGCTGGTTGTAGTTTGATTCAATTGAATGGAGTGGCACATGAGTTTATTTCATGGGATGACTTGCACCCTCAAAACGACGAGATATACTCTATCTTAAATTGTCTGCAACTCAATTTGAAGCAATATTACTAACAACATTTTCTTGTCACTTGTTTGTACTGTGCTAAGACGAAGCTTAAATGAAGCGACATGAGAAGTGAAAATTCATATAACATAACCCAACATGATTGGGGTCATTGAAGTGTAGCTGCAGATATACTGGTTCAACTATACTATTGTTATATACTTGTAAGAAAATTCTTGAGTTACATCTTGGTCCAGGTTTTCTGTATTCTCTTTTTTCCTTGACTACACAAACTTCATTTATGATGCTACAATTTTACAGTTTTTATTGGTGATGATATATAAAAATCTCTTCCACTCAGCCAAATGACATAGTGAACTTTTCTCTTTGACTAGCCATTACAAAGTCATCGTCCTAGTTTACTCCCACCTGCCAAATAAAACAATGAATTGTCACTTTTATGACCAAAAAGATGATTGGATCCAGTTCACTACTTTTTCTACAAAGTAACTTTTATGTACTTTTGATAAGTCAATACTACTTTATATGAAAGCGCATAATCAGCAAGTGCAACATAAAATATGCAGATTGATTTGCCAGTTCATGAAGTAAAATGTAAATATACCTGTGAAATAGATTAAGAGAAATTTCAGCCTAAAAGAAGATTAAACACATCTCTCAAAGTGATTATGCCTTCTACATGCCGGCTATTGGGATCAATGACCACAACACGCCGCACAGCTGAAACAAAAAGAAGAGGCATTCAAACTACAAGATTATGATGCTCACAAGGAAAATGTCAGAAAGGAAAAAAGAAGCGGTACAAACTTGGATCTGAAAGGACCTCCATAATCCTATACAGTGAATCAAAGCGTGTGCATGTCCTACAACGATCACGGGATGCTTCATCTAAGACCTGCAGGACCTGAAGCCAATTTCAAATTACTGCATCATTACAACTTCCGAAAATTCTCTCCTCCGAGGATTTACAAATGAAGTGATAGAATGTCCTCATGCCCTATAACGAACATCAACAGTGGCCAAGAGTGTTTACCAAAATGACTCCCAAGACTTTTACCCATAACATCTGGAATTAATCAAGATGAAAGAGTTCCAAGCAAAGAGAAAAAACCAAATGGTAGGTAATAAATTAATAATAGTTTAAGAAGCTTCATATACCATACAAGTATGACTACCATTTAAGTCTTCATAGAGTAATTTTGTATGCCAAAGAACAAACTTTGAAATGTTTTAAGAAAATTCACTGACTTTTGTACTCCATAGAATTCTATTGCATACTAGCACCTCACTTATATTAGGCAAGCATGATAATCTTGAGGAAACAAGAGATGGTGGATTGAAAGGCACTTACTTGAGTCATTATCATCTGGTCAAGCCGAAAGCGAGCATACACATTGCCTCTTGCCAAAGAGGTTATATCACTATATAAAGACGATCAAAATTACAAATCTTGTAAGGCTTTAATTAAATCAAGCAACTTCAATTATGCGTGAAAATAAAAAAATTCAAGAATTTACCATTGGAAGTGCATGAATTACCTCCGAGAATACACATTTATAAGGGCTCCATTATCATCAACGATAGGTATTGAACTTATCTCACCTGTCAGAGCAAGAGAACGATGTGCTTAGTACACATGTTCAAAGTTCTACAATCACTGACTTCTAGAGAGGGTAAAATCCCAATAACAATAGAAAGGGTCTTCTAATTCAACTAAACAATTCCTATATTGAGATGTGGAAGTGGAAGGATCAGGTCCCTATCACATGTTTAATAGTAAATATGAACCCCACTAGCATATAGACTAGGAATAAGACACAGAGGGGACGAGGAAGGATGGAAAACCAGAAAAGTTACATCTTATTTTTCCCAGGAACCTAGCTTGCAATTAGTGCATTATCACTAAACCACGAGTCTGAGAATTGCTAGCTATGAATTTATTGGCTAGGAGCTCATTGATATCCTCAAATTGAAATCAATTAGCCATTGCTAAGTTAGACCTTCCACTATAGACCAATCAGAAAGAAAATTCAAAACCACAGGCTCACAATAGGGCACTTGCAAATTCTGTTTATCTGTGAGCAAGTTACCCAGGACAATTTTGTACAACTCTAAAAATACGATTGTGTACCTTCTATTAGTAATTTAAGAGCAGAGCTAAGGAGGTCTCCACTGTGTAATGTCAACAATACACGGCTGCTTGCTCTTCCACCAACTTCTCTTGTCCAGGTGCCAAATGGAAGATTACCCACTGGTTGCTGTACAATAGGCAGATACTCTAGAGAGTGCCTAAAATGCCTGCATATGTCTAAGATTTTCCAAGGAAGATAAATAAACCCAACATAAGTCCTTGCAAAAACTTTCTGAGGAAACAAAGCTGCATAAGTGAAAGCAAGCTATAGGCAAACACACGATTTAATATTCCTGCAAGGCATGCAGTATGCAACAACTGCGAAGATGACCCGTCTTCTGATGAATGTAAAACTGGAACTGCAGATATCTTATTTTGTAATAATGTTAGGGCCACGTCTTTCAGCGACTCATCAGGACCAGCCTGTGATTGCAGAGAAAATAGGAGGAATGAATAGACAGAATAAGATTCTAGATCAAAGCTGCTGTGAGAGAAAATAAATTTTCTTATGGTAAGCTAACATGAAGATACGATCCCCCCCGCCCCCCCCAAAAAAAAAAAAAAAAAAAACCACCAAGACTTCAGGGAGAGTCGTTATAAACAAAAAAAAATATTAATATTCCACATAGCAATTAGAAAAGAAAGATAGTTAACTAAAACTCCAGCAAAACAAACGATTACATACTTGCAGTACTCTTCTGTTTGGAGGTATCATAGCTCCTGACACTTCTGCTTGCAATTGGAACTTTCCATATTTCCAAGCTGAAATCGTGTGCATTTCAAGCTCATCATGGGTCAGCATTGGATGACTTTCCTGGAGCTGCAAAATAGTAAAACCTTAGGTGTGACATATAAGAAAGAAGCATAGATGTGTAATAGATAATGCACTAATGTAATAAACAACAATTCTAAGGACCAATAAACATTACAATTGCAAGGTCAAAGGCGTATGATTGGAGGATTCAACTACACAAAGTTATACATAGTAGATGGAATTCAGAAGGCAATATTTTCTTGTGATTTTAAACCTTACTATATCGATTTTCCCCATGAATACAATGCAAGGAACATTCATCAGCAGGTTTATAATCCTCAATGAACATAGACAGTCACTTTGTTTAAAAAATTTAATTTAAAAAAATAAGCTTGACTCTGATCGATATGATTCACTCTCCATAATTTGATGCACTTGAATGACCAAATACTTGACGAGGAAAGGAGGGGGGAGGGGGATTAGGTTCCTCCGTGGACGAGCAACTTATTAGCCATATAAAAAGTGAGTTTCTGAGGTTTTACTAAAAACATGGATTATGATGCTAAGTTATTCAGAGGCAAGCCAAAGAATAATCACCTTTGGTTCAATTTTCAGCACTTTCCACTCATAGATAAAGAACTCTAAACTTGTTGCTAGCACTGCTTAGCAATTTAAAAGTACCTTCAACAAGATCAAAATGAAATCAGCAGCAGTAAGCATTCCTGAAATCATCGCATTCTGTCCATCCCAAAGAGGCATCACTGCAAGTCGCTGAACATATATTCAGCTAGTTAAGTTCAAGAAATTCCAACCATAAAACAAAATCAAAATGGAACTTGAATGGAGGAAAAAAGTACAAAATAAATCACTAAAGACAAGGAAATATAATTCTTAGTGCTAGTAGGATAGCACAAACTCCTACTGAATATTAGAATTTTTCAACTGACACAATTGCATAAATGCCCTGCCAAATATACAGGGACATTTTTTTTTGGCAGGATTTGCCAGCACTGAATAATATTTTTGATTTCCTACGTTTTCTTCAATGATACTAAACCAAGGAATAGATCACCTAGAACACAGCGGACTAAAGGAAAGACACTCATATCCCCATAGGCCATAACAGAGAAAATTGACAAATGAATATTAGACACTTCCACAACCTCCAATATAGGAACATAACAACAACAACAACAACATACCTAGTGGAATCTCACAAGTGGGGTCTGGGGAGGGTAGAATGTACGCAGACCTTACCAACTATCTCGTGGAGATAGTATCTTGTAAATTAAATTTCTTTCCTTTATCAAATACCTTCAATCATCATAGTGAAACATTTACGAACCGGTGCATTTGAAGGTCTAGTAGTTGGGCATGGTAAAATCATTGTAGACAACCTTCATGCATTTTATCCAATATATTAAAATAGTCTTCATAAAGTGCAGAAAATATTTGCTTGTGTTGATTTACTAATCAAGTCCAAACTTGAAATGTATAATTTGAATTTAACTGATATGCTTTTCTCCAAGACAACTTACAACTTCCAGAATTTGCTTGAACAAGTATTTATAGTCAGCTACAACCTTTACCTTGAGGACAAAGGTGTCTCTGACACGCAAAAGGAGCCGAGAAGAGAATCAATAGTGTCCATAGAAAACCATACCTGTTCATACATGATATGAAAAGCCTGCTTCACAGCCACTTCAGTATCTAACGCAAAGACCTACAACAAAAAATCACCAATTAGGTAGTCAGTAAATTTAATTAGAGTTACTATTAAGTAAAGGCACAATATAAGGGAAAGCATACATAAAGACTTCCAAACCTTTCCCGAATTTGGAATCAGCTCATATGCTTGGGAAGATGACAAAAACATTAATAGACGATGGCGGGAAACATCTATTTCATTGTTTAACTGCATGATTGGTTTAAGTTGTGACTCGCTTGAAGATGAAGCCTGGTTGGTATGACAAAGAGATAATGCGAAATTAAAATGTGAAGGAAAATGGTCGGATGAAGTCATTATGAGTAGTTGTCAGAATGAAGGACGGAAAAGGAAACTGGGTCATGAACCATATCAAGTAAGAAACTCTTTCTGATTGGCACTAACCTCTAGATGTGTGCTGCTAGTAAAACCTGAGACCAACTTTGACTGAGCATCC